CTCTCTCTCTCTCTCTCTCTCTCTCTCTCTCTCTCTCTCTCTCTCTCGTAATGGGGAATTTCCGACGATAAAAAAGGGGTTGTTGTTTTTTCCTTTCAGTCGCTAACAACCTGATAATATTTTTTTTATTCCAGGCGGTGGTGTTCACTTTACCCAATAGGTCTGTTTATTAATGAGAAGCCGAGTGAATATAACTAATTCTATACTTTTCTCTTTTTGATGGGATTTTTTATTATTTTAATCCCAGTGGAAAACAAGCGGATTTATATCAATATACATTTTTTGGTAAAGTTTTCGTATATATATTTTCTTTCTGAATTTGTCTTTTTCAGCTGAATGAAAACAAAATTATAATTCCCTTTGATATCTCATCGTTGAAGATAATTATGCCGTGGGTCCCATTGGTATGACGACCCATTAGGTACAATATACTGTAGGCAAGGAGGCAGCGTGGCCGGCACTATACGCCATCACCTTCACTTCACTTAAAACTGGGTGGACTAGTAGTGTCCTGGTTCGATACAACAACTCTTAGGACAGGAAATGAACCCTGGGATCACATGAAGATTAGACACCCAAACTTATTACCTTTAAACACTTTAATATTAACCTAGCCTAACCGCTTCAGGTAACGTTAACAGGAAGTTTAATCATCAGGTGAAGTAAGCTAGGGTGTCTAATCTTCAGGTAACCCCACACGGCACCAGCAACAACCCTTTACCAAATAGATTAGCTACCCTTTAATTTTTGTTTTTCAGTTTGTAAGTTTTCTATGATGTTTACAAACGCGACCACCCCGTTACTCTGGCTGGCTGGTTGTAGACGTGAAGGGCGGCCATGGGGAGAACTTATACAGTATTACTTGGTGTCTTATTCCTCGACAATAGTGACTTGGAGATGCATGGTTAAGAAACAATTCCTTAGTGATTCGTTGATAATTCATCTCTCTCTCTCTCTCTCTCTCTCTCTCTCTCTCTCTCTCTCTCTCTCTCTCTCTCTCTCTCTCTCTCTCTCTCCAAAAACACACACACACACACACCCTGGAATTATAACCTGGGCTAACTTTGTCTAACCCAACCTAACCTAACCTAGCCTATAGTAAAGCTTGGGATTAGAAAATTAATATTCCCCATTTATTTTCACCTAGTTTCTCCCATCCATGCACAGCCCCCCCCCCAACCCCCAACCCCTTTGCCGCTCTCTCTGTCTGTGTATGTAATTCGTAAAACCTTTGATCTGCCATTAAAATTTTCCAGGAATTTCCAGTTTGTGAAATGAGTCCAGATGTAGAGTGTCAGGATGGTTCATGTACCCACACACGAATGCCAAAAAACTTAGTACCATTTTTTTTTAATTCTAGACCTGAGAAGACATTTAATTGGCTCCTTTATGTAATTTAACAAAGGTAGTTTATAAAGTGGGTACGAGAATTAACCTGAAAATAACACACACACACACACACACACACATATACACACACACACACACACACACACACACACATATATATATATATATATACGGTCTCTTCTCCTGATAACTGAAGTCCATGACGTGTGACTAGAAAGAGCCCGTCACTCAGGCCTTTTTTTTATGAAATAGACCTGTGATTCTTAACTACTCCTCTTAAGACGTCAACAGACACCCTAACCTAACCTAACCTAACCACCCTACTGTACGGTTACGCTGGGTTGCATTAGGTTGTTTTGGTTTTGTTAAATTTGGAGGTTATGTTTGGCTAAATTTGGCGATGTAATTTCGGTTAAGTTAGGTTTAATGTGGACAATATTGGTTAAATTGGGTTAAAACAAGATATTGTTAGTTAGATTAAGTTTGGTGTGGGTCATTTTGTTTAAAATGACTAAGTTAAGTTTAGGTTAGGTTAGGCTAGGTTAGGTTAGGTTAGGTTAGGTCTGGCTGGCTCTCCTACTCATAACCAACCTAGCACAATAAGATACACTGCTCACCCCCTGCCCCTACCCCAGGCTCTCCCCCCTGCCCCTCCCCCTGCCCCTCCCCCTGCCATTCCTCAGCCCCTCCCCCTGCCCTCACCCCCTGCCCCTACCCCAGGCTCTCCCCCCTGCCCCTCCCCCTGCCCCTCCCCCTGCCATTCCTCAGCCCCTCCCCCTGCCCCTCCCCCCTGCCCCTCCCCCCTGTCACAAACGGCGGCTGTTATGATTGGTGTTGATATACTGTCGACCAGGTGAGGCGCTTACACCTCTGCTAACCTGTCAAGTTTGATTAAAGTGGAATCTCCTCATTACATGTATTATTTCAAGCAGGCTCTCTCTCTCTCTCTCTCTCTCTCTCTCTCTCCTCTCTCTCTCTCTCTCTCTCTCTCTCTCTCTCTCTCTCTCGCTCTCTCTCTCTCTCTCTCTCTCTCTCTCTCTCTCTCTCTCATTTCATCTTTTGACCGTCATGTGAGATTAAAACGAGTATCAATTCTTTTTTATATATTCGAAATGTTGAGAATAAAGCACTATTTTTTTTCCTTTTAGTCCTGGGAATTTTCTTCTTATTTATTACGGAACTTTACTGTGGGAAATATAAAATTTTTACTCTAATGAAGGCTTATGTGTTGATCATTACGAGAGAACTATTAGAAGGCTCCTGTCTGTCTATCTGTCTATCTGTCTATCTGTCTATCTGTCTGTCTGTGGTCTTTTTTCCGGTTTTGCTATCCATATATATTGATGTAATTTCCACAACCTAACCTAACCTAGGGAGACGAACTATAGGAAGGTAAAATTTGATGTTAAAACACAATAAATTTATAAATGTACTCGAAGATATTTTGAACTTTATAGAAATATTTACTAGCAACAGGAAGTGCAGTGTTGGCTTAGGGTCAGAGGGGGAAATAAATAGACTGTCACAATATTTAGTTTCCACCACTTTAACAACAGTTAGCGATTTCCACCGATTTTAGACTCGATTTCCATCTGGTCATATGGATGGAAATTCTCTAGTCACTAACTTTCAGCTTCCCGGAGTCAAATGAGTTCAACTAATAATACTTACCTCGAAATAATGACAGAAATCAATTACATTGTGTTGATAAAGTTTTGGAAGGCTAATATTAATGTTTATTGGAGTGTTATATGTCTAACTGTACAAGCAAATACATCTGACCAAGAGACGAATGTTATGAATGTTGTAAACAGGAGAGAGAATGTTACTGGGGACATTAAGTGGTGATCGATCATACGGCCACATTCAACATCGTACCTTTAATTCTCTTATTTCTTGTATCTCTTTTTTATTTTATTTTAGAACTTCGGCAAAGTGTAACAGCTTTATAATGATGGCTGCATGGTATCCCCTACATTGTATAATTATCCATGAGTTGTAATTAGTAATGAAGGAATAAAAAGAATATCACGAATATATTTCAATCATTTTCCGCTTCGTAATCAACACACACTCAGACAGAGCTCATTTCCCTTCGTCCTCAGTATCCTGCCGGAGTCCCCCAGGTGGCTGTTGCAGAACGGCAGGTGGGCGGAAGCGGAGAAAGAGCTGCAGAAGGCGGCCAGATGGAACAGCAGCAAGACCTTCGACCACAGCTGGCTCCTTGCTACCATCACCCAGATGAAGGTCGAGGTGGGTGAAGAAGGTTGAATTAGGTCTTGTGGTCTTCCCGGTAATGATAGGTCCCGGTTATTAGGTCCGGGTCTTAATTGGACCCCGGTAACTCTGTTGACGGGGATACGATGAGATAATGTCTCTCTCTCTCTCTCTCTCTCTCTCTCTCTCTCTCTCTCTCTCTCCCTTCCTCATAACACGAAACTCACCCACAGAATCACTTAAACCCGGAAATCAGATACCAACGTCGGTGGATAAGCCCCTCAGTGGGTCACCCGGCTGCTGCAACAATGGGAAGTAACTCCATGGTTTTGCTTCACTAGACACGTAAAGTCAACTCGAGTATCTTCTATATATGTTAGACACAGTGCTCGTGTTCTTTTATTATTATTGGACACTTAGGTCGCCATCACTGTCTCTCCCTATACCGTGGGTAACTCCTACACGATATCACTGGAAATTAATAATATTCGTACTAATGATGATAATGGTGAGAACAATGATAATGGCAATAATTGTAATGTTAATGAAAATAGCAATGATCATAATAATAACAATATGAAGTGTGATATCAACAACAACAACAATAATGACAACAATAATAACAATAATAATAGCCCAGCAACAAGGAAGAATTTAATCATTGTAAAAAAAATAATTATATTCTTCGTAATAATCAGACTACATTCCTACTGATTTTTAAGATCCTGTTTATTACGCATCCTGAAATACATTAAACATTTATGGTTCTGGAATAAGAAAATGATCGCGTAATAATGACGTGTACGTGTTTCCCACCCTGCCACGTGATGACAGCAGATAGCACTTTCACTTCATCTCACCAGCAGTGACAACCTCTCCACTTGCTGCGGGAAGGTTGTCACGAGCCAGGCAGAGGGACAACTAACAACACTATAAAACACAACCGGTAAAACACCTTCTCCCCTAACTGACAAACCATCACCAATCTCATTAATCTGTCATAGTCGCCACCAACCACCTGTCCTCATCAACACCTTCCCAAAGGCTGTAAATAAATTGCCATCGAATATCCCTGCCAAGAAGGTAATTAGTTATCAGATATTTATCACTGAGGTTAATTGCCTACGCTGATCATCTGACTGTCAGCGAGGCTCCGGGCACCTTGATGTTGACAGTCGTTCCCGTACTCACTTATTCCTCTCCTACCTGTGTGTGCTCTCTCCTGAGTACTAAATAATCAGTGCCTTTATGTGGACTACTCTTTTAGGGGGTGTACTCGTTATTCTACTTCTGCCTCCTGTTGTACTCTCTATGGTGTACTCGACATTCGTGACTCTGTATCCTAAGTATAGTTGTAGTCGACGTTTGACTCCTGCAGGCGTCCTCAACTCTCGTCTCATCTGCATCAATAACATTTAAAACTCACACACCTC